ATATTCATTTGTGTTGGTATCAATTATTGCGTGACCAGCTTCGGATATAAATGGGATAGGGGAAAACACAACGTAAAACCTAGGCTCCCGGCAAAAAGTAATACCCAAGCGTAATATAATAACCGAAACAGCTTATTCGTCTTATAAAATCATAAATAAACAAGGTAAGAGTGTTATGTTAGATTTTTTTTATAAATTGTAGTGATTTATGACTCGATATGCAAATAAACGGTGGCGACAAGTAGGTACGCTATGTATATTTCATAGTCGCTAGCACGTAATTTTGCCGGACTTTGAGTTCGTCTCACGATAGAACAATACAAACACACAAGGAAGTTTTTACAGTAACTTTGTAATATCCTTTTGTGTTTTAAAAGCTAGAAGCTCAGTAGAGTCTGTCATATCGGTCATTGTTAAAACTGTCTTTGTTTTGATGCTACTTTTCGACATAGAAAAAGTATGTATGTCGGACAAAAATATTTACCAAAAAATAAATATTTCTTTGCCAGCTTCAATAATGACCGGGGATTAATGTTAGATGATAAAACAAAGGATTGTGCCGACAGAAATACTAGAGGTCAAGTAAATTCGTTACATGAGGTCACACAACTCGGGTAATATTCAGGGTGAAAATTTGTATATTTGAGCGGTCGAACGAAAAAACTAATTTCTCTAAAACTAAAATACATTTTCACAAAAAAACCACACCAAAATTATTAGGACATATTGGGCTACAAAATATATAAGTAGGAAAGAAAACGAATTTGGGCGACTTGCCGCTGTTTGTGTGATGCATGTTGACATTAGCTCTTAAGAGCTTCGTACATAAGCTTGTGAAATCGAACAGCACGATTATATGTGCGAACACCAAATACAGATCCTTCAGAAATTACCCCCGACTCGATCATCACATCTCGTAAACCAGCGTCCTGGAAACGTTTCCCAATCACTGACAAGAATGTGCAAATGGTATGGAACACACTCACCCTCAAAAAAACATCCGTAAACTGCCCTCTGTGCCTCCACTTTATCTCAGTAGCTTTAGCATATAATGATCAAACACAACTGCTATGCTTTTGAGATTGAAAGTTTCCTTGATCTGCATGGACCTCATTAGGACTTGGTACACAGTAGACATGTTCGTCGCTGGGGTATTGATTGTTGGAGGGTACCCAACGTTATCCTCAGCAACTTCGTGCTCGTTACGTACTAAAATGTTGAAGCCAGTCCAACCAGGAACAGATTGCTTCTCACTTGCATGAATAAGTACTAAAATCCATAACAAGTTCTTTTTCCATGCACGTTCCATGATTTGATTTAGCTTTACCTCCACATATCCTCTAGAATGGGGCCCACAGCGCTCATCAGCATTGTAGGCAGGTAGAGCTTCGTCATCCACTGACTCGATACCTCTCCTCTTCGATTTCACGATGATCAGCGCCGAAGCTGATGGAGGATGAGGACCAAAATGATTAGCTTGAACCGCGATTCCCTTGACTCCATGGGACGTACCTTCACCAAACAAAGTCTCCTTAAGACAATCAATATTATCCCAGGCTGGAGTGGTACTGATAAACGGACGGATGTTGTCGGGAAGAGGAAGTTCGTTCTGCGATGTTGATGTCAGCTTTTGAAGGCACAACGAAGTATTTATCTCTTCAAGTTGGGGGTACACAAGTCCATGACCACAGCGGTGTAAGATTTGAAAGAGTTCAACATTGTTGGCAAGAGATTTTACGACATATGAAAGTAGAACTTGCTTTGGGGGCCTTTGTCGCCCACCACTCGCACCAAATACCAAGTCCTGACCAAATGAGTTGATGAGGCGTGAAACCTTTTCAGAACAGGACTGCAATCCTGGAAATCTGGTGCTACCGGTCAGTGAAGTGAAAAAAAACTCTTTGAGATCATCTGCAACGGTCACGGCATTTTCAGTCGGCTCGCAAGGTTGTGGAGGCCATGATGCTTTTATTTCTCGAGACTGGATAGTTTCTCAAGGCGGAGGGCGGTTTTTGAAATTTGATAGCTTTACTATATCATTGTATATCATAGAGTGATTAAGGATCACCGACCAAATGTTGTGGAATTTGTTATTGACTGGTTTTCGTAAGATTGTTAAATTGCTGTATTCATCACTTGATGAGTATGAAGGGGGGGGGAAAGGGAATTTTGAAGCTTCGAATTGATCGATGCATAAGCTATCCTCTTCTACAGCATTCTCTTCGTGCAAGGTCTCAAGAAACTGTAAATAAAGTAAAATAAAAAAGGGAAAATGATTCCTGAAATAAAAAGTCTGGCTTTTTGTTAGAAACGATAACTTTCCTAATGTTGCAGCTCAATGAAACCACAACTCACTGTTAGTGAAAAAACAAAAAAAACTTTCCATTTTTGTACCGCTGGTTATGAGCAACATTGTAAAAAAAGTATGCAGGAAAGTACAATAAGAAAAAAAACCACTGACCTTCTCCAAAAAATGTCCTCAAATAAAGAAATAGATTTCCACTTTCTAACTGAAAAGAAACTTAATTAGTGATTGTCTGTGCATTCCCACAAGTTGATGTCTATCTCAAACGTGTATAGCCATTTCCAGAGCGTAGTACGTTGGCATTTAAGGCTTACAGTTGATAAAAATGCAAATTCCTCTGACGGACTTGCGAAAAGGTTGGATTTTTTTTATTTTTATGTGCTGGAAACTTGAGGAAATGGTAAAATACTTTTGTTGACAAACATTATAAATTTTTATATACACGAAACCGTTTGCGCGACAAGGAAATACTGTATCATTTATCTTAAGCTTGCAAGGATTTAATTCAAATAAATGACTAGTTGCTATCACCAAACGTATATCAGAGTTGATGAGAATGTTTCTTTAACAAAAGCCTTCGTTCTCAAAACGGTAAGCGAAATAAACTCTACTGAGCGATATTGCGCTTGGCTTGGTTAAAGCAGAAGCGCCTGTTTAATTTAATTTGTAAGGACAAATCATCCTGTTGCAACAATTTTGCTTAAACATCTTTACGTTTGTATTAAGAAGAAATATATTTCTTGATTTCTAGAAAACGATCTGGACGAAAAATGTATTTAAACTGTTTTCTTCTGATTGGTGAAGTGATTTTGGAACTCCTAGGACCAGGTCCCAAACAACTAGGTCATTACGAGTTGAAGTCAAAGGATTACCCTGGATCCACCATGTTGGCGGGTGAGTGTGGGCAAGTATGGGCAGACCCGGTTTTTTGGTTTTGACTTTTTTTATATCCATTTCGTAATTGGATCCTCAAACAAGACTTCATGCCAAATTTCAGCCAAATAGGTGAAATGGAATGGCCGATGAAAGTTCAAAAGCTACAGACTATCACACCTAAAAGGGATCTTTTTGACGATGAACTGTATTGTTTAAAACTCCAGTTTCACACTTTTAGTGGACTGCTTCGTCAGCGTAGCTGCAGCTTCCCTTTTGTTGTTATTTATTTCTTTTTTTTTTAATTCCCTCAATTCCGTGCTCTTTACATTACCCCTTAAAACCGTCGAAGGCCCCTTCTCTTGAATTACGGTCGTTTCGCCTACGGGTCGTTTCGCCTACGGTCTGTTCGCCTACGGTTAGAGTCGATTCGCCTACGTCTCATATGTCAGTTCGCCTACGGTTAGAGTCGATTCGCCTACGTCTCATATGTCAGTTCGCCTACGTGTTAAAACATGTGTTACAACAGTTGATTCATCTACTTTATGTGCGATCGCACTCGGATCCTAGTCGGTCAATTCAATTCCTAAAGCGTGACTCATCGAAGCCTATCGAAGTTAAATAATTGTAAATAAGGAGCGTTCGTTTACCTGAAAATTTCCGTTTTAATTTGATTCATCTTCGTTCGAGTAAAAACAAGTTATGTAAATATCGCATATTCTGAGTTGCGAATTACACGGTTCTCCAATCACACTCAGTAACCATGAAGCGTACTCATTTCGCGACATTTCAATTCTAATACACTTATTACATGCGGGGAAGTTTAGGTTATCCGAGTGACACCTGCCCCTTAAACAACAGATCATTCGCGTTTAATTCCACAGGGCGCAGAGGAGTTCATTGTGACGGTAGGCGAGGCGAAAAGTTTAAAAAAATCATTTTAAGCAAAATATCTTTCACACATTCGTAGACGACCGGGTTCCGTCATAATAAAGTTTTTAAAAACATTCGAACTTAGATGTTTTAGCGCGTTGTTTTTCTAGCCATCGAGGATAGAATGGAAGGAATAATACAAGGAACAAAGACTTTTAATAATTCCGATTTAAAGCTTCAACATCTGACTCGTAGGCGAACTGACATATAAGACGTAGGCGAATCGACTCTATTCGTAGGCGAACAGACCGTAGGCGAAACGACCGGATACCCTTCTCTTACATGATTAATGCTATCAATTCTTGCTCGATGTCTTTGCATTTTACAACGGTATCCGCGGGTTTCGCCCATAACGAGTTTCGCCCAAGAAGCGTTTCGCCCATAACGAGAATGGTTTCGCCCAGGCAAAAATTCGATTCGCCCAGACTGACAGTCAGTGATTATCCAGGCTAAGGGCCTCTTTAGACATATGCTTTAGATGAGCCCGGTAACCGGGCTTTTGTTTTCTGTTCATTCATAAGCTGGCGTGCGGAACTTATCTTCCGTGTACAAAAGATTTGCAACGATGATATGTTCCACGCGCAAGTGTTTTCAAAAGCGTTTAATTTAATTCTCGAGAAGAAAAGTGATGCAAAAAATCATAGCAATGCTTTTACGACAAACGGACGTCTCTGCAGTATTTCGTGCGCGAATTACCTTAACAATCCCCACTCCACAGTGAAAGCTATAATTGACTTGTTCGTTTCAACAGTAACTTGTTCGTTTCAAAATTTCATGATCTCAGGTCAAGTCACTTTTCTTCATTCTGTGCATACAAACGTTTATAAGGTTGACGTTTTCCGAGTGAGAGTGTAGAAGTTTTACTTATGGGCGAAACCTTTATTGTTCTGGGCGAAACCATTCTCGTTCTGGGCGAAACCATTCTCGTTCTGGGCGAAACCATTCTCGTTCTGGGCGAAACGATATGTGCGAAACTCGTTATGGGCGAAACCCGCTATAACCTTTACAACGACGATTGTTCCATAAATAAATGAATAAATAATAATAATAAAATAAAAATAATAATAATAATAAAATAAAAATAATAATAATAATAATAATTATAATAATAATAATAATAATAAACCGTAAAAAAAATTAAAATATGCAATATTTTTGAAAATTTCAGAATGTTCGTTACAGGTAAAAACACTTCTACGAATAGCTAAAAATACTTATTTCTTCATGCAATGAAATTATTTTACACCAGAATTTCAAAGAACTATCTATATCAATTTTTCCCCTGAACTTAAAAAAAGAACCGACCTTTTGCTGTATATCGATGGTTGCGAGAGGCTGCGATCAAATTAGTCAGGATACAAAGTTTTTTAAGGTTCAAATAGTTTCCTTATTTGGAAAAACCTATTCTTTTTGAAGGCTTATAGCTTCTACACTTTTCTGTTTGTTTCCTTGAAATCTATGTTCAAAAATGCTCCATGAACTTTAATCAAACTGTGTTTGTTTTACAGTAAATGGTTTGAACCCGGGGGTAACATGTAAAAGTGTAGTTTGATCGTCCGAGTGATTGTAGTCCTGAGAAGGACTGTTGTCGGTAGTGGTGACTGACGTTTCGGCAACCTAAGCGGAAGTCATCATCAGAGTCCAGTGAAAGGTTGTTGTCACTCGAATGTACTTACTCCGGTTAGCGTACACTGATAGGTCAGTTTTGCCGTGATGTTGTTGGCTGTAAGACTCAAGTGGTGTAGGTCAGTCGTGATTGGTCGGTTTGGATCCGTTAGTGAAGTTAGGACGTTCTGTTCGGTTCGTTTGTAATGTTAATGTCGTGGATGAGTCGTTTGTATGGTGCCAGCAGTGGTTGACACCTGTTGAGGGGAGTCTGTTCCAAGTTAGTCAACCAGCTTTCCAGGGTCAGTCGTTGAAATTAGTTGGTGCTGTAGGTTAGGCACTGCGCAGAGTCCCAGTCAATAGTGTGGTTCGTAAGTCGGTGATGTTCAGCAATGTAATTGTTGACATCGCCTTTCCTCGTCGCTCGTTTGTGTTCAGTCAGTCTAGTTGCGAGGTTTCTGCTAGTCTCACCGATGTAGGAGGCGTGGCAGTCGGAGCAAATTGATCTTATATTTTTTATGGAACCACACTATTGACTTCTTCTCGAGTCTTACAGCCAATAACATCACGGCAAAACTGACCAATCAGTGTACGCTAACCGGAGTAAGTACATTCGAGTGACAACAACCTTTCACTTGACTCTGATGATGACTTCCGCTTAGGTTGTCGAAACGTCAGTCACCACTACCGACAACAGTCCTTCTCAGGACTACAATCACCCGGACGATCAAACTACATTATTACATGTGTTTGTTTTTCTAACAATTAAGGCTACCATAGCAACAATACAGCTTCAAAGAGGCAGGTTTGTTACTCTATCTAATAAATTTGCGAGCGAAACAATGGCCGGCGTTTTAGGCAGGTTTTCTTTCGCCACCGCGGCTGAAAAGCAGCTCAAACAACGAAAACACTGTAAAAAGCACTGCCTTTTGGTTGTCGATTTGGAAAAGGTGGTGTTTAGAGTGGGGAATTGCCAAGAAAATCGAAAATTACGAAGCGACCCAGATTGACACTTTTCTCGAGTGATCCAACGCCGAAATTAAAAACAAACATGGTTAAACCCCGGAAACGACGATTCTACTTCATCGAAAGTGATTCGGACACAGTTTGAACAATTCCTTGAACTGTTTAGCTGGACTTTGAACTTATTTGCGTTTGAAGATGTGAAGATATCATTGCATATTATCGTTTTGATCGCCAGCGGTTGTTTTGATCGAACGCACGGCTCGAATAACTTATTTTTGCACTTGATACGCGCGCTTTGCTTATGCTTAATTATGATAAGCTATCTCGTATTTTTTCATGTTTAGTATTAACACGTAATCACATGATTTTCGTGCAAATTTGTTAGTCTTTAAAAAAATTTACTCGTGCTTATTTATTCCAAATAGCACTCGAAATCATATGATTACCTACACTACTAATAAAAGTGATCAAAACAATTAAAGAAACATGAGCACATTGTTTTGACAACATAAATATTTTCGAGGGAAAATACGAAGTAATGCAGAGAAATATTCCTTCAATACATTTTTGCACGGTTAATTTTTTTGTTTACGTTTGCGTCACCACAATGCTGAAATAACTTTCCATAAAGGACAACACATTTTAATTTCCTATGACACTCTATGATAATTGAAAACCGACCTTTATTATGTATTTTTATTTTTCTACTCGTCACAAAATCGGAATTAAGTGGACTCACTTCATCAAATTCGTTCTTTAGAACTTCTTATCGATAAGTGAACGTTTGCTTGTAGAGTCCAAAAGAGGTCCTTTTTGTTATATTTAAATGGATAAAAGTAAACAGCTAAGGGTTTACGAAGGAGGAATTTTCCCTCTTTAGATTAAAATTATCATCGTAATAATAACAATATTACTTAAAATAAAAGTCAGCAATTTTAACAACAACATTATTCCATTTTTCGATTATATCTGTAATGAAAGAAGTTATGGCGTGTAGCAGTGTGTATCAAGTGAAAAGCTTAAAACTTGTGCGATATCAAAGCTAATTTGAACTTATTATGAAATTGAATTTCTGCTGATTCATTGCCTCCAATATGAACCAAAGAACATGATTCACAGGAAGTTCTTGCTGGCGAATTAAAATTAACATCTTTATGGTAATTTAACAAAGCATCATATTCCCAGCTGTTGTACATGTCTTTCAGCGAAAAAAGGGGAAGACCGAAATTTTCACAGAAATATGGATACGAAAAATATCACGGAGGTGAATTGGCTAACTAAGCTTGTAACAAGGCTGCGTGATAATCAAAACTTACCCATCACGAATATCATAACAAGCAAGAAGTTTTTACCACCACCAAAATAGACAGTGGTTGTCTGATAATTTGGCAAATTTTCACAATGATAACTTAGGAAACCATCAAATGAATCATTCATTTTCACAAACTAGATTTATATCTATCCATTTCTTTAACGCAGACATTTTCCACGACGAACTAATTTAGTCAATTACATTATGACCCAGAAATTTTGCGAGCTTTACCGGTCTAAACGTCTGCTCGATTTTGTTATGAATATAAAATCGTAGGAAAGTTGCGTGACCTAAAAAAATTCTTTCAGGTCCAATTTATCTTAATTCAGCACAAACGATTTAAATATCAGTGTGCTTATTTATCATTTCTAAAATGAGACGACAGTGTGGATTTGAAAGGTGTCGTGGGGGTGAATTTACTGACGAGTGACATGCCTGCATAATTACAACTGTTATTTATCAATTTTTCACGATAGCATGTCAGGCCACAGAATGATGTGACAAAACTTAATTACGTCAATTGACGGGCAAATTATACATTTGTACTGGCAGTAACTAAGACAGAACAGCTGACATACGAAATTGGTTTAACCGCCGATAACCTAATTTCCATAGTTCAAACTTCCCCTGTCATGATACATAATATCAAGTAAAGAATTTGTTTCTTAAGCATACGTTTAATGGGCCAGAACTTTTCTAATCCTGTTCTGTAACATGCGTTCTGTTTCTGTCTCCCTTCTCTTATTGGAGCTCTGCTTTATGATACAAAGGGCTGTCAGATCACAAGGTTAGTTTCAGTATGACTGATATCCAATTTATCTCCACCTTTGGATTGAGTGATCATTATTTTTTGGGAAACGTTTTGTTCAATTATAAGAAATCGTCATGAAGTAAAAAAAAAATAGTTTTATCCACCTATATTAAATGCCTACAGCTAGTACTTTGAAGAAATATGATATTTTCGTGTACGAGGCATGTATTGTTTTGAACGGCTCGAACTTTCGGCGACATATTCCTTGATGGTGTTAATGTGACTCGAAATTTCGGGCGAAAATTGCTCTATGAAGGGAATATTCGGAACGAAAATTCGTTCCTATCGTTCATTCTTCTCAAAAGGATTTGGTTGGATTTGTGGTTTGTTACTGATCCATGTAAAACTCCCATAGAATTTCCCGCTACGATTTCAGTCTCCGCGCGACCCATGTCGTTTACAACCATGGCAACACTTAGGGTTTTAATTGTGTCGATGGATTTGGGATCATTTACGTACTCTACTTTTCGTAGTCATCGTAGCAAAAGTTTCAAATTATTCGAGAAAAAAAATCAAGATCCTGAAAAAAATACAGGCCCGTAGGGGATTTGAACTCATGACCTCTGCGATACCGGTGCAGCGCTCTACCAACTGAGCTAACAAGCCAACTGGGAGCTGGATAATGTATTGGGTCCAGTTCAGCTCCCAGTTGGCTTGTTAGCTCAGTTGGTAGAGCGCTGCACTGGTATCGCAGAGGTCATGGGTTCAAATCCCGTACGGGCCTGATTTGTTTCAGGTCCTATTTTCAACTACTCGGTTCTTCACCGCAGTGCAAATATATGAATTTTATATATCTAAAATCATCATAGTTTAGGCTTGTTTAAACATCAGGAAACTGGAGTTGATGTGCAAAATATCTGGATTCGTCTAGGAGATAATTTCAGCTAAGTACTTGTATCATGGTCGGAGTTACTGTAAGACGCGAACGCTTGGTACAATTTGCCCGATTTTCGTTGTCATCCACAGATCGAGCCCAGAGTCCGTCGGACGTGATAACCTTTTGATGTTTAGTCCTTTTGTCTACTGTATTTAGTCTCAATTATTAAGTGTCTCTGTCTGTCCAAAAGGTTGGAAATACGTTTAAAAATATTTTTTGTTGCATGCATGAATAATAAACAAACCTGATCACTCGTGGAAGGCTATTGTCAGTTTGAAGCGAAGTTTCTAACACTAATGATCGAAAGACACTTTCCGCCGCAGAATTTTCGCGTCGTGGCGAATATTCAACGAAGAAGCTTTCTTTGTTCAAACGAAATATCGCCTAACAGGCTTCGAACTTTCGACTAAAGATCGTCAGAACAAATAACCAAATTCGCCGAATTCTGTTTGCATTACTTTTGCACAATACTGTAATTAAGTAAGAATTCTACAAAGCGAAGCACAGACGATTAAAAAATCGATGTCAGAACTTCTGCCGAGGAATTTGAACCCCCACAGTCGTATTCCTCCACTGACCCAAGCTGTCCAGAGATTGCCGTCTTTCCGAAGATATATGCCTTTAATACAAGCCCTCAAAAGAAGCGAAACAGGAATGAGATAATTTTCAATTTAATTAAGAACAATAGAGAATTGCGTGTACGTGTTTACTTACTCTCATAATAACACCCGAAACATGGCCGAGGGTTTGTATATCCCTTTTCTTGTAACACTTTCTGCAAGATAGAAATAAAATAGACGAAGAAAAAAAATTCAAGTCTAACACAACTGATAATGAAATATCACCTACCAAGTTTTCCGTAATTCTCAACATATCAACATAAGCAATAACGTTACATTTGATGTATTATTATTTCCATTTCAAAGATGTGTGCATCGCAGACCAATGTCGTAATTTGGAGTTTGGACCTGAGAAGGCATTTAAAGGGAAACGCCTCGTAAACCACACAATTCGCACCGTAGAAATAACAGTTTCCAGGTTCTGTGAAAACTTGTGTTACATGGAGCCCTACTGTGTCAGCATTAATCTTTATACACGGGCAGATGGAAAAGGAAACTATAAATGTGAACTGAACAATGCTACTCATGAAGGACACGAAGAAAAGTTGATAGACCAAAAAATGTATTCTTATCACGCAGCTGAGGTAAATGTAACTTTCAATTTAAGAGTCAGATTGGTTTACTTTGTTGATTTTTTTAAAACTCTTAATTTCATGTTCACCTTTACTTACGAACTCTAGTTTTCCCTCTTTTAAGATATTAGCGGTAATATTGTTTCTGTGCTCTTCACCAAAATCTCCTGAAAGACAACACATTTTAAAGTTATTGGAGAAATATAGAAATAGAAGGACAACTATGATATAAGGATAACGATGGCGATATTGATGATGGTGGCGGTGCGGTTGACTATTAGATGATGAAAATGATTATCATGATGATAATAACAATGACAATAACAACGGTTTGTTTCTTCTGTCAGAGCAATTGTGTTCAAAATCCATGTAACAACAATGCTACTTGTCAAAGTGGATTTACTACGAAGGGTTATCGGTGTCTGTGTATCGCTGGATTTGAGGGTCCACTTTGCGAAAGAGGTAAACACAACTTTTCTTTTAATATCTTGAGACGTTCAGTTTAACAAAGACGAGGAAAAACTTTACCGCTGCTTGCTAAATGGGTCGCAATAAGGAATAATTCAGCTTTTTCCGTCCTTGTGTTGCGTAAACCGCTCTTACTAGCCAGTAAAAGCGAAGCGCAACAGGCCTTTGTCTCTTTACCTTCACAACTCAAAGGCGAATTTTTGGTTTTTTGTCATTTATTCTCGTCATCTTCCTTCTCCTTATTCGTCTTCACATATCTTTTGCTGAGCCGCACTGAAAGTGGACAGAAACAATAGTAAAATACAGTAACCACAGGCAAAAAGATAATTGGCTACCTGCAGAGCTTTCCGGATTAAAAGAAAAAAAAAAGATATCACTGTTTTGAAGCTCATCAGTACTGCTTGTGACTTACAAGGTAACTGTAGTGATTATGATAAAAAAAAGACCACGTTTACCATGCTAAGAACAGTACTTAAAGAAGGCCTATGTTTATTGTCTCTTTTTTTTACAGTCGTCGGTGCATCCATGTCTTTTTCTTTTTATACGATAATTTAGTTTTCATTTATTGGTGTATTTTTTTTTCTTATTCAGAAATTAATGAATGTGTTCGTGGACTACACAAATGCAGCTCTGATGCGTTTTGCAACAATACTAAAGGTTCATATAATTGCACATGCAAACATGGATTCACGGGAAATGGACGAGAATGTAGAGGTAGACATTGGATTCAATAGCAATTATGTGATGAAAAAATGAAGCTTACATCTTTAAATTATCAACAAAGGAATCGTAACTTACATCTCTCGATTCTTCAGCAGCAGAAAAATACATAGTGAAACTGAACGCAAGCAGAGATACATGTAGACAAAATCACATTGAAAAAAACTACTCTTGATAATGAAAGGTTTTTCGCACCAAATGGAATCAATCTACTGATCACTGTTTCTTAGTTTCATTCATCTTTTGTTGCACAAGCTGTCTAATAGCTACAGAAATCTGTTTGATATTCTTAACAACAAGTATCAATGCTGTACAAATCAAATACGAATATCAAGTAATACTGCTAACCTTTTAAATTATTCATGTGTTTCTGTCAATTGTCGGCTTTATATCTACAGACATCGACGAGTGTGTCGTAAGGTCACACTCTTGCAGCTCTGATGCCTATTGCAACAATACCAAGGGGTCTTACAACTGTACATGTAAACCTGGATTCACTGGGAGTGGAAGAGAATGCAAGGGTGAGCGTTACTTTTGGGAATATCGAGCAAAGGAGGAATTTCTAAATTCGAACTTTCTTATAAAAATATGTGAAATGCCAGTACAGTGTTGCTACACCCACGGGCACAAAAGATACAAACCAAAAACTTTGCCTTCTGGCTAAAAAACCAAATAGTACAGGATAAACACTTAAGCGTCTTGTATCCGTATATGTTGCTATTTTCTTAATTGTTAATTTATTTGTCTGTCCATTTTTTCCATTATTTTTATTACTTATTTTTGAGATATCAACGAGTGTCTTAGCACACTACACACCTGCAGTCCTCACGCATTTTGCAATAACACCAAAGGATCATACAGTTGCACATGTAAACATGGACTCGCTGGAAATGGACGAGAATGTGAAGGTAAACGTTGGGGTCGAAATATAGAGGAAATCGGCTGATGAAAAACACTAGTTGAGAATTTACAGGTATTACAAAGTAAACATTGCAACGCAATTTTCAGAATATTACTACCTTTATCATACTATTTAAGGCTACCAAAGGTGCAGGAAACCACTACTTTTAAACACTAATTATGAAAAATCTGATTGGTTGAGAGCATTCAATCAATATACTATAGCGTGTAGAGTTGAAATGATAACACAATATCCGCAGCGGGTATAGCAGTTATCGTTTCGAGTTCACGTTCTACTTAATTTCAAAGCCCCTCTGGCTAAGTAAAAAATACGATTGTTTTATAAAGATAACAACAATCGATGCCCTCCCGACGTCGCTTTTTATCAATGGTGTATTTGGAGAAAGCATACGTGCTGCCAAACAAAGTGAAAGAAAACTGAGAACTGTTTTCAGCCACAAAGCAGAGCCTGGAACATGACAAAATTATTCGGTCAGTCCGTCAGACTGGGCTCAATATAGTTTCCCAATGATGGATTAAGATATAGCTAAAATAAATTTACAATTCCCTCTAATCAAAGACATTTTTAAACTTCTTCCAGGAGCTAACTCGTGTAAAGAAATTCGTGACATGTAAGTAGAATTGATACTTGATATTATTTTCATAGTACATCAAATATTTCGCATGCCTACAATTTGTTTAAGCCATCACGCCACCGAGCTACAAAAATTTTTAAACCATATTCTATTCGCGAAGTAGTCCTCCTTTAAACCTTGGCTCATTTTGGTGGAGTTATTACTGCCCTCAAAGAAGAAGTGAAAAATGCCCTTTGTCATCGGACACTTGTTTACTTGCAGGACAAATAACAGAGCATTGTTGCTATGAAGGCTGTTGTTTATATTACGGAGTTATCAACGTATTTTCCTGAGGGATCAACTTTTCATGTGTGTATTTGTTGGATAATTATCGTTATCACTCAGTATCTTCGCGATTTTCATCGTAGTTATGATATTTATTTAATAAGCTTTAGTTTTATTTCACCACCATTGTCTACTTCATTTCTTGTTTTCCTTTTTTTTCCTTTTTTATTCAAACGATCAAGTATGAGTGGTGTGGTTACCCTTCTTGTTGACTCGAAACCATTATCCGTTTTTTGTCACATGAGAAATTTTGGGTGTGGAGATGGAGGATGGACGCCAGTCATGAAGATTAACGGAAATGAGGTGCATACTGTTAATGAATGATTTATTTCGTATATAGACCCGCTCTCTTTCAAAACGTTGCAAATTGCAAACGTGCATGTCACATATGTATGACTTTTGTTTTTCTTCGAGAAGGTAATGCACAAAGAACAGACTTTGTTCAACGTAAATTTCAAAACTTATGGTGTTTATAATGACTTTTGAAAAAGAAAAGTTTAAAAGGATGTATAAATATATCCTAACGTGTTTTCTTCTAGTATCATGTAACAGCTCACACCCTTAAATACTTAGGATTAGTTATCGATTCCTTTATGTTGTGGCATGATCATATTGATTATATTAGCAGTAAAATTAGCAAAAGTCTAAACATAATCGCAAAACTGAAACGACATTTAAAAGTTCAATCTCTTCTAAGTGTATACTGTGCACTTGTACATCCTTATTTAACATAGGGCTGCATATTGTGGGGTAATAATTACGAAGTTCTATTGTCTCAGTTGGTAAAGCTACAAAACAAAGCTATGAGAATCATCAACAATGTACCAATTCGTGACCATGTTACTCCCCATTATGTAAGCCTCGGCCTAATTAAGCTTCCTGACATAATTAAATTGAGTACGTGTCAACTATTCTACGGTTATATTGTAGACAAAAAATCTTCTAATTTTGCCCTTTCTTTTGTATCTGAGATCCATGATTATGCCATTAGAAGTACATCCTCTCAACACCTGAACCCCAGCCCCTTCAGAATAAATAAATTCTTTCCAACAGTTATAGGGTGCTACTATTCGAATGATATTCCTATATCTATACGGGAGAAGCCCACTTGAAACCTTTTTAAAAGAGCACTTTTCTCACGTTACCTTTCCCAGTACTGATTAACGTCTTCCTCTGACCAAGTTTTATTTAAATATTTGTTGTTTAAGGTGTGATTCCTATTCCTTCTCTTATATATTGTATCTTACATTTGTATCTTATATCTTACATCTTATTGTATCGCTTCTTTTTACTGTATGAAAAATTGTAATTTAAGGTAAAGAGTATCTAATTAGCTCGCTATATTATGCCCTTCTCCACCCTCTTATCTTACTTGTAATTATTCATCAGACTCTAATCTATCGAAATGGAGGAGAAAAAAATAAATACTTACACTAATACAGCTAGATATATGCAGATACACAACAGGAGGCAGAGAGCAAATATCCATCAATTCAGAGAAAACACAAAAATGTATTGCTACTACATTTCAGACCACCTTCCATTATGACTCGCAGTATTGGAGCAATTACGATGAATACAACCTCCCCGGTGGAGAGACTGGGTTTGACAAACTTGAAACAAAGCTACCCACCTACTGGAACACCTCCTTCTCCAAAATATGTCTCGGAATGAAGATCGGCGAACAGCTCAAGTTCATTGTCATCAACAAGCAAGCTGACTCTCTGCACTCACTGATCGCTGATGAGCAATACCGTAACACCTCACTGGGTCGTGACGAGTGGAAAAAGTTGATTGGCAGCGAGGCCTCATTACAGAAAAACTGCAACATGGAAGGATTCAATGCCTTTAGTACTTGGAGTAATCGTTCTAGAGTCAGAATTGGTATTGTTAGCAATAACGAGAACGACTGCCACACATGCAACTCTTTGATTGGATTTGGTACAGGAAGCCACCCTAATCATGGAAAATCTTGCGGAAACCAGGCCGACGAGTCAAGTCCAGATAATGGATGGAAGAGTATTAAAGCCATGGGGTACATATTAGTGCAATAAAACTACACTTTGTTGTCTCAAGTTCGTAAATCACGTTTGTTTCACCTTGGAGGCATCTTATTGCTACAGAACAATCCAGGCAAATGGTCGTCAAAAAGCCTTAAAGATACAGTAACTACGCATTTACACTTATTAAGAGATATGTACATATTCCCAAATCCTTAAATTTCTTAGACTTCATCAGGAAAGCATGATTAAGACGTTTTCTTCAAAAATATCAGTAACCATAGCTTCAATAATCAAAGAATAAATATTCCCAAAAAATTAATTGTGAGTAATTGCCACTTGGCTTTTATGCAACAGAAACAGCAGTCTTAGGTCCCTCGAATGCCACCGTTCTTGGTCTCCCAATTACTTCATTGTTTTAAACTAGAAATAACTAAAAGTATTCGAAGATTCATCATCATTGATCAATTATCGAACTCAGAATTTTCTAGCAGCTACAGTGTCTTGCTATTAGAGCATGGAACAGTTAAATGCCACGTCTTTGAATGCTGAATTGACGTCTGTACTTTTTTTGCTGGTAAAAGAGTGGAAAACCTAAGATAGACCCTGATTCTATTGGCTTCAAGTTCATGTTTAAGTACATGTAATGCCTTTTGTTTGATTAATTTGTGAAAATAGTTAGAACTGAAACTAGAGCAGGTTTATAAACCACAATTACTGCTTTGCTAATCATTCTATTCAAAATGTATCGTTGAACTCTCTCTGGTTAAATGAGATTGGTTCAATTCAGTAGTGTAACCTTAATTAGGCTGTGTTGTAAGCTGAGAATATTAGAGTTAATGCCTAGTTTCATTCAATTCTATTGTTGCTGCGGTCTGTGTCGAATCTTTAAATTATCGTCTGATTTTTTCGCGGTGATTGGTCTTAAAACTAATAGCCTTAAGATGTTGGAAAAAAACTACGCCACGGCAAGTACAATTTCTGGTTGTACCCTATGTATATTAGAGCCATCAAAATTTCTTCTGCCAAAAACAATTGTAGCAGCATTAACATGTCAAAGATCGTAATGAAAACTGTTTGTTATGGTGGTGTACAAGTGAGACAAAATAATAATCACTGTACAAGCATATTCATTCGAGCCAAAAAAAACTATTCTTACCTGTGCAAAAATATTCTCCTTGTGCACAAAAAGCAGATGACGCTGTGAGTCAGCGATATTGTGAGTTTGATTGGGAATTTAAAATATGTCTACAGGGAGCCCTCGAAGCTATTAATTGATAAAATTTCCCGTATCGTCTTTTTGAGGCGAATTTTCCTTGACCCCGCATGAGTAAAAAAAAAAAGACCTGAAGAGGAAATCATGTATAGGGTGGGCAGTCCTAAAGCAAACGCTGGGTTCTAGATGATCTTAAACATTCCATAGCTTTTACTCTGTGTTGGTAACGAAAATTATTTTAGCAGCAACAAGGGAATACCACTGGTTTCAGAACATAAATAGAATTAAATAATGATAAAGAGAAAACATAGTACTCGCTGCTCCTCATGGTCTATGGCAGATGTCAAAACTTTTTAAAACGAAAGCATTAGTTACAGAACCTTATTTTAGGTTTTTAAAAGTGGATTCCATTCCCTTCATTGCGGTCACTTTCCTTTTTGTTTTCCCGCGAAAAATCTTTGGAAATTATATTTCCATACGTAAATAAGACGATATGCAACCGAGTTTAACAGAAATGTGTGGGTGTGTGTGTGTGTTTTTAATAATTTGTCGCCTCCTGCGTGGAACTTGAAGTTTCACAAAATGTTGCTGGAAACTGAGAAGAATACATTTGCGCCCTACGATAACTTCTAGAACCAAACCAACCAGTGTTAGAATGGTGATTTGTTTTTAAATAGCACAAAGCGTAAATATGAAATACTGTAACTACACCCTACGATAATTTCTAGCACCAAACTAACCAATCTTAGAATGTCGATTCGACAAGTTTTTAACTAGCGCAAAGCGTAAATATGAAGTACAGTAACTACACATTTTAACCTCACTACCATCTTCGACTTCCGGCAGATACGTGATGCAGATTTATATCATTTCTCATTTAATAAATGAGTGCAGTTAGCCTCAGAGATAATAATAATAATAATAATAATAATAATAATAATAATGATAATAGTAACAATAATAATAAACTTTATTTAACAAGGGTTACGCAAAGCAGTAAATATACTGAAGAACCAGTGGCCCTCAATAAATAGTACAAATTAAAAAAGTAATAGCATTACATAAAAGCATTAAAGACTAACTAAATAGGGAGTTATTAAAATACAACTGTGATATAAAAGTTAAAATTTAAACTATCTATTATGTTCAAACAGAACAAAGATAAGACCAGTTAATTAAATACAAAATTTAAAATTGCGCGACAAAATAATCTAATTCTCATAACTTTTCACAAAATGTTCTATCATGGATTTCTTGAAGCCCATAAGATTCTTTTTGTTTCTGATCTCGCTGGGAAGCTTATTCTAGAGGCAGATAGTCGATACTATGAAAAACCTCGCTCCTTCTGACTCCCGTTTGAATCAGAGGTAGACAAAGTTTAACTGTCCATGTCTGCTCGTTCGTTCATTAACATCTGCATTTCCTATTAGCATCGTAGTCATAAAGGATGGGCAATTGCTAGAAAACTGTTTATATACAAAAATGTACTTATTTGTTTTCGCTTCATCCTAAAAGGGACCAAACCTAATTGTTTAAATAATTGACCGTTGTTCGCTTTTCTATCAGTACCTAGTATTACACGTGCTGCGCATTTCTGCAGCCTGAAAACTTTCCGAATATTTTCTACAGAGCAGGATGCCCACACGGTTGAGGCATACAGCATTGTCTGCTTGACCGTTGCATTATAAGAAAGTTTTTTTTGATCAAGAGGCAGCAAGCGTCTTGTTTTCCACAATACAGCGATTCTCTCCTGGTCAAAGGTAAGCTGACTGTCAATCGTCACACCAAGCAATTTGTACGAGTCTACTTGTTCAGGTTCAGTAGAGTCTAAGTGTAACTGAAGGGAAGATTGTTCTATCTTCTTGACCAGACGTTTTCCCATAACAAGCATAGATTTTCGTAGAAAAGGTTGTGGTTATTCATCGTGGTGAATAACAATAAAAGCTAAGTTTTCCGTTTGTCTCATGATGTAGTCACGCTTGATTTAGATCGCGACGTTTCGACTGCATACTGCTAGTCTTCTTCAGGCGATGAAGTCGACTGGTCATGCGTGATATTATAAAGCATGATGCTCTGCTGTGATTAGTTGTTTTTTCAACAGCTCTGATTGGCGCATTTCGATCCTTGCCGTTCACTCAGTGATTTGATCCCTCGGCGGTCCGCTGTCGCACGACTCTCCAGTTGTTGTGTTTTTTGATCGTGGGCATCTACGCTTCTGGAATTTCTATTCCACTCTCCCTGTTGATGTTGTTAGGGTGAAGTCTTATATGAATTGCCTCTTTGACCCAGCGCGTGTAGTAATAAGGGTCACCGTCAATAAAGTTTCTGGCGTGAAACTGACCTCATTAACAACAACCAATTTGGCTTCCTACGTGGAAGATCCACTGCAACTCAATTATTATCAATGTTTAATAGCTGGGTGAAATCTTGCAATTTATCTATCCCTACCGATGTCATCTTTCTTGATCTTGCCAAAACCTTTGACAGCGTTCCCCATGAGTGGCTGCTTTTAAAATTGAAAAGTAACGGCATCGATCGTTGTTTACTCACCTGGCTCAGACATTTTTTGGTGGGGCGCAAACAACGTGTAGTCATTAGGGGATCTTGTTCTGACTGGTCGTACATTACCTCCGGGACTCCGCAGGGCACCATCCTTGGGCCGTTATTGTTTTTATTATATATTAATAACATAACTGAATGGATATCGTCCACAGTAAAACTATATGCAGACGATAAAGAGATTTAAAGAGAGATAAATGACCCGATTATAGACTGTCAGCTTCTTCAGGATGATCACAACAACCTTAGCGATTGGGCACGTAAATGGCAGCTACGTTTCAACGCAGACAAATGCGAATCTATGCGAATAACGCATTCACGCGATGAGTCTGAAACCAATTATTTCTTAGAAAAGCCCCTGAAAGATGTAGACAACTTTAAAGATCTCGATGTTACAATAACTAAAGATCTCTCATGGGGTAATCGCATTAGTATTACTGTGACCAAAGCGAACAAAATTCTAGGTTCCGCTAATGCAAATGTTTTTTCCATGTTGTACAAATCTCTTGTAAAGCCAATTCTGGAGTATGCGGCACCTGTTTGGTGTCCCTACCTTGTTAAGGACATCCACACCCTTGAGAATGTACAGCGAAGAGCCTCAAGACTTACATTAAACCAACGCAAAGGGGATATGTCCTATGAGGACCAATGCAAACTTCTAAAATGGCCCACTCTTTCTGACCGTAGAACTTTTTTATCTTTAATTGAATGTTATAAGATAGTTTTTGGTCTTTATCATTTAAAATTTGAAGACTTTTTTTATTTCGCTACAACTCCGTTTACGAGAGCAAATCACCAATACAAACTCTACGTCAAACCAGCAAGACTTAATTGTTATAAACATTTTTTTTCGTTAGGATTATCAAATTACAGAACGAGTTACCGGGTGATATAGTGGAAGCTAGTAGCTTTCAGCATTTTAAATCTAAACTTAAATTGTATCTCAATATTTAATTGTATAGATCTTGATTTTTATTTTATTTTATTTACCAATTTATTTTATTTTAAGGGAGATTTTTACATAGGGTTATCCTCTAAACTTCCTTATCTAGAAGTACCTTTTTTCTTAGTTTTGCATACATACATACATACATACATACATACATACATATATACATACTTTATTTATTCTAGAAGCAAACTATATATACATGTATGTATGTATGTATGTATGTATGTATGTATGTATGTATGTATGTATGTATGTATGTATGTATGTATGTATGTATGTATGTATGTATGTATGTATGTATGTATGCATGTATGTATGTGTGTATGT